GTTTGAGGGGCCGGTACCATCTTGGAAGCCCCCATGCCTTGTCCGCCCCTTCACCCTAGCCCCGTTCGCTCTCCGCCGGAAGGTGTGCGAGCAACGAGGGGCTGGGTCCTTGGCCGGTGAGGCCCCAGGATGGTTCCCAGACCAAGGCTGCCAGGGCTATGGCTGTCGCCGCGGCGACAGCGGCTGCGACGGCGGCTGCTCGAGCATTGTATGTTCAAGCATGCGCCTGGCATGTCTTTTCCTCCATGTCCGATAAGGTCCTTACAATCAGTATGATGCTTCCACCTCCCTCATTCCTCCTCTTTCCTTCCTGCTCACTCATCCTCTGACTTGTTCACAGACTCATGCAAACAGGCCACTCATACTCAAATCAGTCACGCTCTGAATCACTCAACACTCAGACTCGCACACACACACACACTGAAACCTATCCACTGTCAGTAACTCATAGTTCCGACCGCGTGCACTTAGGATCAGATTCACTCCTACTCGGATCTACTCAAACTCTGACTCAATCGCACTCGGACTCACGCGATCAGACCAGACACTCAGTTAGACTCATACTCAACGTAGTCACACCTTACCCACACACTGCCACTCATACTCAGACCCTCTTATAGTCGCTCGCCATCGTCAAACTCGCCCATGAGCACCGCGATGTAGCAGGCGTTGCACTTGAGCACCCCAATGAGAAGCCGCCAGGGATCTAGATCCTAGTGTCCTAGTGTCCTGGCAGTTTTCGTTCTGATCAGACCACATCACACCAGAGAATAGATTAACCAAGCATGGCCGCGAGGATTGCTTGAATACATGTAGTGCTTCTTGACGGCTCTGCTGGAACCTATGGCGAATCTGCGGGCAAGGATACTGGCGTGTCTCAAAGGACCTGCCACCACATTAGCGCTACCAAAGTTAGTTTTTCAGTGAGGATGTCAAACCGGATTGCTTGAGCCATAGCTGCTACAGATCATATAATCAACGTTTGATTCTGGAATTGGTCTGAGAGCTTTTGAACAAAAATGAAAAGCCGCCAGGGATCACTGGGGCACTTGCCCGTTCACGGCCAGCTTGTGGGGGGTGGCTGGAGCGGGCGTCGCCGATTTTTCTGCTGTGAGAGCCCCGTGAACATCGCGATGTAGCAGGTGTGGCACTTGGGCACCCCAAGGGGGAGCCGCCAGGGGCTAGGTCTCGAGCGATGCGCTCGTTTAGCGTCGCCGACTTCTCTGCCGTGAGAGCCCTGTGAGCACCGCGATTTCGTGGGCGTGGCACTTTGGCACCCCACGGGGGATCCGCCGGGGGTATGAGACTTGCCCGTTCGCGGCCAGATTGTGGGGATACCTCGAGCGAAACGCTGATGTTGGCTCCACCGACTGCTTCCAGAGCCCAAAGATCGGGCGATCGCAAGCATGGATCAAGGTGGCGTGGAATAGCGACGTATCCCGTTTCCATGGGAAACCGCGGAGTTTGACCGCCGAACGAGGCGGCACCGGCCGCATTTTGGGGAGGGCACATCACGGGCACATCACCCGATCCATGTCTGCGCGCCCCCGAAATGATCACAGCGATGTAGCAGGCATCGCACTTGAGCACCACAAAGGGGCAGCCGCCAGAGGGTAGCATACGGAAGCAGAGAGAGGGCAGCATACGGCAGCAGAGAGGAGCGCTCATATTCGGACATGCGCTTTCTCAGTCTTACTCTCGCGTAGAGTTCACGCTGGGGCACTCGCAGTGGGAAGTGTCATCAAATGCGGTGCACAGACGGGGATCCCCGCATCGAGGGGTCAAATCAGAACAACAAAAATCGCCCTACTTGCGGCCGCCGGTCCAGTCCCCCCTCCCACCGCCCCACTGAGTTCGTTAAATGGGGCGTAATGTTTTGCCGTGGAAAGAATTACCCTATCCAGGGTTGACCGGAGGGGTTGGCTGGGAGGCTTGGTCAGGGTTGGCCAGATATTTGGCCAAGGCTGGCCCGAATGCTGGCCAGGGCAATTCTTCACGCTTCGTGTATCCCCACACGCGGGCTTAATTTAGATCGTGTCTCTATTGCTTCGCTCTGACGGCGCCTGGCACACCTGCGCGCTCGCGATCAAAAAGTATCCCAACCAGCCTTAGGTAATTAGGTTTGGCTCGTAGCCTGGGCTGACTTCGGACGCCGCCTGCGTTTCCGCTTGCGGTCGCGATGGAAAAATCCCCACCAGCCCATTCAGAAGCCCTGCCCACGAGAGTTGACGGGAAAAGGGACGAACGGACACATGGGAAACAAAGCGAGCAACCAGGATGAACCGAGGGATCTCTGGGAGCAAGGGGGTGGCCTTGGAAGGCCTCTTCGGGCCATCCCTGGGGGCCGCGTGCGTGAACACATACTCCCGCCTCCAATCCACAGCATATTGCCAGGTGTTTCCGCTTTATGTCTTCCTCAGTATCACTCAGACTACCTGTCGCCCAAAGGGCTGGTGGGATTTCTCAGCCATCAGCTGGTGCTGCTGCTGCTGCTGCTGGTGGTGCTGCTGATGTTGTTGCTGCCTCTGCTGGTGTTGCGGTTGGTGCCCTGGAAGGCCTGTAGGGGCCATCTAGGGGTCCTCGATTTCGGCCCCCTCCCAGGAGCCTACAAAATCGTCTCTTGGAGCTGTCCTGGGGCTCTTTGGGAGGGTATTGGAGCTCTCTTGGGGCTCTTTTAGGGGTCTTGGGGCCCTCTTGGGGCCCTCTTGGGGCCCTCTTGGGGCTCTCTTGGGGACCTCTTGGGAGCCCTGGAAGGCCTCTTGGGGCCATCTTGAAGGCCATCGATCAACGGAGGAGAACGGAGGAGATGGTGTAACGTCCAGCCCCCCCCAAGAGGCCAAAATGGTGTCAAAACCTTCGCAAAACCAATGGTTGTGGCTTCCTCGCCGAGGCCGTTTTGGACGCCCTGGCACCTCGCGGAACCCTCCAAAACAGTCCAGGGGAGGGGGTAGGGGGAGGGGTCAAGTTACCCCCTCCCCGCCCGCAAGCCGTCTCGCTCACTCCCACCCGCCCTCCCAACACAGACGTAGCACCCGAGTCTGGCCCGAGCCTCAGCATATTCAGCAGTCGTCTTTGGATGGGCAGCTACTGGGCCAATCCGCCGCCGCCGCCGCCGCCGCCGCCTCCGCCGCCGCCGCCGCCGCCGCCGCTGCCCGCCGCCGCCGCCCCCGCCGCGCCGCCGCCGCCGCCGCCGCCGCCGCCGCCGCCCCCCGCTGCCTAACCGCCGCCGCCGCCGCCGCCGCGGCCGCCGCCGCCGCCCCGCCCCCGCCGCCACCGCCGCCGCCGCCGCAGCCGCCGCAGCCGCCGCAGCCGCCGCCGCCGCAGCCGCCGCAGCCGCCGCCGCCGCCAAGTGTCCTCTGTATTGTTGTATTGGCAGGGATGGTGGGGGGGGCCGCATCGGGTTGGCTGCGCATGTTCCGAATTTGGAGGCAAAGTGTGTGTTTGTATTGTTTTTACCAGGGATGGTGTGGGGGGGTGTCGGCATGGACTCGGGTTGGCCCCCAGTCGCTTGGGGGAGGGGGTGTTTATTAATAGGGAACAGTGGTAAACCCCTCCCCAGGGTTTTTTTTGAAGAGGGGAGAGGAATCCCGTTAGACCTCCTGCGCCCAGAGGGCTGGTAGGATTATTCGATCGGTAGGTCGTTCTACAAGCGATCCTAATTCTAGACGCTTCGCGTAACCCCCACCAGTACCTTAGCTTGCACGGCGTTCGACTCGTTTTCGCGCGCCCGCGTACCAAAAGTAACCCCACCAGCCCATCCAGAAACGATGCCCAGGCGAGGTGCCTTGATCAGGGATGTGGAGGAGCATGCAATGAAATAGCGGGCAAGGAAGGCTGTCATACCCCAAGAGTGGGAAGATAGAGGAGGATGGAGGATGGAGGAAGGAAGAGGAGGAGGAGGAGGCGGAGGAGGAGGAGGAGGAGGAGGAGGGTCAGGGGGAGGGAGATGGGGGAGGGGGACAAGGGAGCAGGGAGGAGGAGGAACAGGCGGGGGAGGAGGATCAGACGGAGGAGGAGAAGGGGGGAGAGCAGAATGGCCAGAGGCCTCTTAGATGCCTCCTGGCGTCTTGTCGGACGCCTCCTGAGAGCTCCTTTGATTCCTCCTGGGGCGTCTTGGGGAGCTCTTGGCGAACCTGGGAGCCTCTTGGAGCGTCTTTGGTGCCTCGGCGGAGCCTGTTGGAGGGGCCTCTTGGGGCCTCCTGGGGCCATCGTGGGTGGAGGAGGTCAATCGAAGAAGGGGGGCTACTTAATTTGCGTCCCCCCCCCCAGGGTGCCAAAATAGACCCCAAACCTAGGGAAAACCAGTGATGCGTGCCGTCTCGCCGAGGCCACCTTAGACGCTACAACGACCTGCGACACCCTCCCTCCAGACCCAGGGGGAGGAGTAAACCCCTCCCGGAGGGGAAGAAGAGGGTTTGAAGAAGAAACGCTCTAAACCACTCGGGGCGGTCGGGCGGGGTAAGGACCAGGATAAATCATTCCAGAGCTTTCCAGAACGTTCTTAGAGCGCTATGGAACGACCGCGGCGCCCGATACATCCTCCAGAATCGCCCGACCTCAGAGATCCCCGGCCTATCCCAGTCCAATCTTGTCGGTTTCTTGGCTGCTCAGGTGCCCCTGGCCCAAGGTGCCCCCAACTTTTCGCCCAATTCCGGAGCCCGGGGGGCCCTCTGGGCCTCGTGAGGGGCGCCCTGGAGGCCGTGGGGCCTCCTTGGAAATCCTGGGGGCACCTTGGGCCAGAGGGGGCATTTCTAGCGACACCCGATTCGTCCTGGAGGGGGGAGACCTGCTACAGTGGAGACCCATGCCAAGAAACACCCTGCTTGCCTGCAGGGTGCTCTGGGTTCCTTGGGTTTCGATGGCTGCGCGATGGAAAGCGTGACGTTCCCACGCCAAAAGTCAATGGACGTCCTGGGGGTCTCAGGGTTGGGTTTCTTGTGAAAGGTTCCTTGTGGACTGACCTCCACTGCTGTGCGCGGGCCCCCCCACGCCTCTGAGAGGCCGCAGGCGGCACGGTCTCCAAGGGCAGACGCCTACGGAGGCTCCGCGCCCCGCCCAGAGTGGCCACCCGCCGGCCCTCGCCCGGGGCCCGCTTCGGGACGCGCGGCCAGGCGGAACGCACAGTTCGACTGCACGCAGGAGTTACCCTTCGCCGGAGTGACCGGGTCGGGTGCTTTTTCTTGTGGAATGAGCTCGACCTCGCATCGGCACCCGCATCGCGCGATGACGCTCGCATTTGAGCACGCCAGATTTGGGCCCAACCCTTACTGTCAGTGGCCTCAACTTGGGGAAATTCTGCGTTCGATCAGTTGGGCTCGAGATTGTTTGCTGGGCCCTCGTCTGATGGAACGCCTGTTCAATGTTGAGGCCAGGGGGAGGAGGGATGGTCATGCGAAGAGGCTCCTGGACTTGTAGAGCAAAGTGTCCTTCAACGGTAGCAGGGCTTCTGCGACAGTAACCGTGAGGACAACGTCAGGGGGGGGGACAGGCTCAGGGGGGACGCATCGACCCCCGAGCGCCCAGTGATCGCCGATAGGGGCCCGGTAGCCCACCGCGCCCAGTAGCGAGCGTGCAGATCTGCGATCGGGGGCCCAATGGCCGACCTATGGGCACTGCATCGCCGATTCCGGGTCCCTCCTCCCTCCTCCCCCTTCCCTCCTCCCCCCCTCCCGCCTCCCCCCCCCCAGCTTCTGCGACAGAAGTGCGCTGCTCTCCCCTCAGATGCCGAGCGGCTCTGCAGGATCGCGGCGGCCGGGCTCTCGTCTTTCTCGGCCTTCGGAGGACGTCCCTGAGCCCCAGGGTTGTCCCAAAATGTTCAGGGTGCGAGGTCACCCCGGGGGCCAGGTGTTGCCAGACGTGGCCCTGGCCCAAGGTGACCCCAGCTTTCCCCGGGGGGCTCAGGTGGCGCCCAGAGCACCCCTCACCAGGCCCAGAGGGGCCCCAGCGGCTTCAGAAGGGCGCAGGCCAGGACCAACTCTGGCAACACCCGGGAGGGCGCCAAGACGACCGCGCTTTGAGCATCGCGGCTTGGGTCAGAGAGGCGCCCTTCTCCAGGGAGGCTGCGCGAGGGCGCGAAGATAACCGCGGGGCGCGATGCGCGCAGTCTGGTGACCAAGAGGATGGCATCCAGCCCTGGGGAAAAGCTCGAAGCCCCATGGGCCGGCATCACGAACAAAAGTTCGGTATCGGAGGAGGGTCTCGTTGGGTTTCGAAAAAGGTCGCCCAATCTGGCGAGGAGGTGCCGTTGCCGTCGCCGCCATTGGCACGAGGACGCTTGCTCGAATCCAGGGAGAGTCTTTTTTGTAAAGCGGCAGTGCACACTTCGCTTTCCCCTCAGACATCCTCGAGTCTTGAAACATCATCATGACAGACGGTTTCTGGCCGCACTGGGCCCCAGGACCGTCAGAAAACGACTCAGGATGAAAAGCAGGCCGCGAGCCGTTCTGGGGACGAGGGCGCCAGCCGCTCAGCATCCCGAGGGCTGCTGCAGAGGCCTTCGGCCAGAGCGTTGACTCATCTCTCTTACCATGATGACACGAACTCTCTGCGGCCACAGCTCTCCACAGCAGGCGTCCGCATGCCTGCCACAATGCGTGAAGGCGCCCCGTGATACTTCAGACAGTCCTCGTGCCCACGCCGGCGATGAAAGGCTGGCCCCAGGGAAGTAGTCGAAACATTCAGACTTCCAGGAGGTCCCGGCCCATGGGCAGCAGGCCCTCCCAGCGTCGGGTATGGCCAGGACCCCAGGTAAGGGGACCCGGTTAGTGGTAGGGCCCCGAAGCCTTTGAATTGGCCAGAATCACTAAACCAGGTTTGCCATAGCTGGTGTTTTTTCGGGTGACGGCAGTTCCGGTTAGTGGAAATGGGACGGGGGGGCGCCCCCGGTACAGATCACTAAACCAGGTTCCACTAAACCCAGTTCTGCCAACTCAGCGGTCGCGGCGGCGGCGCAGACGGCGGCCGCCCCGCCCCGCCCTGCTGTCGGGCAGGGCGCCCGGCGCCACCGCCTCTGCGCGCGGCCGGTGCGCCTCCCGGGCCGGCCCGCCGCTGCGCGGCGCCGCGCGGTGGCGGTGCGCTACGAGGCGGGGGCACGCGCGCGCGCGGGCGCCGCCGCGCTCCTGCAGCCGCCGCGGCCACGGCCTCCCTCCGCGCAGCGGGGTGCAGCGGCGGCGGCGGCGGCGGCGCGCTGCGCGGCAGGCCGAGCGCGCTGCGTCGCGAGGCGGGCGGGGCTCAGAGCGCGCGCGCGGGTGCCGCCACCGCTTCAGCAGCGGCGATCCAGATCATCGCCCTGGGGCGACGGGATCTATGCAGATCCCTGGCGCCAGGCCTGGCCCATCCTGGGCCCAGGAGCGATGTATACCCCCTCCTGGCTTGCTAGGTATGCATATGTGATGTAGGGTTGCCCCCCCCCCTTCCCCCAATGCATATGGAATCGAGCCTCATACCGCTGGATGGGTACGCTCGTGAGCCTTGCAAAAGACTCGCGAATGGTAATGGGATCGTTCCCCCCCCTGTGGTCGTGGTCCCGCAGGTCCCCCCCGGGATGGGATGGGGGGGGGACGTCGTTGACGACGACGACCTCTGGACCTCTCCTGGAGGCCAAGACCCTGTGTGCTGGAAAGTTGAATCTTCTCGCCCCCATCAAGCACCACAGCACTACACCACACCCACAGGAGGGGTGGGGGGGGGCGGCGGACCCATCGGGCAAGAGGGGGTGGCGATCCCATAAGAATTGGGAGTGAGGCCCGGTCCTTGACCAAGTGCACTGCTCCATGGCCCAGGATAGGCCTGCTCAGTGATAGCAGGGTTTCTGCGACAGCAATCGTTGGGGGAATAGGCTCAGGGGGGGATGCATGGACCCCCAAACGCCCATTGATCGCCGATAGGAGCCCGATAGCCCACCGCGCCCAGGAGCGTGCGGATTCGCTACCGGGTGCCCATCGCCGATCTTTCGTTGATGTATCGCCGATTCCAGGTCGATGACTCCCCCCTCGAGCCAGTCCCCCCTAGCGTCACCTCGTGAGGGGGGGCCGCCGAGGAGGGCAGGGAGCCAAGACGCCGAGAGGAGGATTGCCGTGGGCTCAGGAGGGGCTCTGGTCTTCGGCCGCTCCTGGAGCCTGGGTCGGGGGAGCCCGTTCCGGGCCGAGGCCCGCCGTGGCCGGCAAGGCCCCCTCCGCTTCTCGGCGTGGCTTCTCGTCGGTATAGCGCGACGACTGCAGGCACGCGCCGCACAGCGCGCGGCGCGAGCCCCGGACCGGGTCGGGCGTCAGGGGGGGGGGCCTCGGGAAGAGGGCGGCGCCCAGTCCGATCTGGTCGGTTCGGCTCGAGATCAGTTCTGGAAGGTTCGATCCTCGGATCTGCAGAGGCCACGATTCATTTCAATCCAGGCGTTTTTTCTCAGACTGCGAGCTCTGGGGCACGCCATCGATCCAAAGGACCCTCGCAAACGGAGATGGGACGAACATTTTCCCGCGGAGAAGTGGTCGGGACCTCTGGGGCGCGCATTTAAAAAAATCAGATCGGCGGGTTTCTGGCCCCATCCAGCTTCTGTAGTCCGGCGGCAGGGTGCAGCCCGACGCTCGCATGGCGCCGTTGTGAACCCTTGCGCGGCCGATCCCATTAGACCCCGACTCCTTCCCGAAGCGACTGGGTCCGACGCAAGTTTCGAACCGATCCGATCGGTCGATCCGATGTTGACCGCGCGGACGGCAGCAGCGAGGGCGCCGGCGGCGACGGTGCGGCGACGGCGGCCCAGCCCGCCGAGCCCTCGCCCGCGGGAGGGCAGCGCCGCGGAGGCCGCGGAGGCCGCCGCCGTGGCCGAGCGGCTGGGCCTGGGCGCGCCCCGCCCCGGGCCACTGCCGCCGCTGCTGCTGGGCGTCGGCGTCGGCTCGGCTGCGCGTGTGTCTGGGCGTCGGGGTCCTCGGGCGTCGGCGTCGGTGCCCGGAGGCGTGAGCCCTTGGGATGCTCTCCGGCAGCAGCGCGTCGCCCAGGGCGCTCTTTGGATCAGGTGTTGCTCGAAGTGCTCCTGGCCCAGGGTGCCCCCCCAGCTTCTCGTTCAGTACTGGAGCCCCTGGGGCCCTCTGGGCCTCGTGAGCGGTGCTCTGGAGGCCGTGGGGGCCGCCTTGGAACTCGCGAGGGCACCTTGGCCAAGTGGTACTTCTAGCGACACCCGGCTGTAGGTGCCCGGGTCGTCCCGAGTGGCCGCAAGAGGCCCGTGCGGTGGTCTCGCACATCTGCGAGCATCATACTGATTCTCTCGTGGACTCGACGCTCGCATTATGGGGCAAGTCGATTCTGTGGGCGATCTCCTACGCCAAGAGGAGGACAGCGAAGAAGAAGCCGTGGGGTGGCCCCTCGCTGGAGTGGCCTCTGGTGCAGGCCCGCCGCGGGAACCCCCGACTGCGGAGCGCGAGGCGGCGGCAGCAGCCTGCGCGCCTGGGCTTGGGCCCCCCGTGCCCCGCCGAGGCCGCACACCAGAAGTCGCTCTTGCTCGGCGTCGCTCTTCAGAGGAGAACAACCGAGACATGATCGCGCCGTAAAAAAAATCAGGACGGAGGTTTTAGGCCAACTTCGGCTTCGGGGGGCCCTCGCCGGGCCTCGGGACCGGCAAAAAACGATTCAGGATGAAAAGCCGGTCCCAGGGAAAGGGTCGGGACTTTCACGGGTCCCAGATTGAAAAAATCAGGGCGTCGCATGTTTGGGAAAGGTACCTATACCGTTACCCTTCCCTCGTTTTCGCCTTCTTGGGCCTCCTGGGAGGCCCTCGTCGCCACGGCCGGAGTCGCCTCGCAATCTTGGCCGGAAAGCACTCCGGGTGGCATCGGTACCTTCTGGTTTCCCCAGCTCCTGCGTCTAGCCGACGAGTGCCCACCCGCTCGGGTGCGCTAGCGCCCGGCGCGGCCCGCCAGTCCCGCACAGACTCGCTTGCGCTCGCTGGCGCTCGTTAACACGTGTCACGTGTGCGGAGCTATACTGTCAATGCCGCGCCTTCCTGTGGCTTTGCTGTGTTCCTGCTCGCAACATCTGAAAAAGGTGCTGTTCAGACTCTGGGGCGCCCTCAGACTCTGGGGGTTGGGGGTTGCTCCGACATTGTCTCTCGTTGTCCGACTGTGTCTCCTCGCTCCTACCCCCTGCCTCCTTCTCTTGGTCCTCCTCCCTGTTTCTCTTCCTACTCCCTCTTCGCCTGCTTTTCCCAATCCGTTTCTTCCTCTTCCTCCTAGTCCTCCTCCTCCTCCTCCTCAACCTCTTCCTCCTCCTCCTCCTCCTCCTCCTCCTCCTCCTCCTCCTCCTCCTCCTTCTCCTCCTCCTCCTCCTCCTCCTCCTCCTCCTCCCAGGAGGCTTCCAAGATGGCCCCATGACGGCCCAGGAGGCCCCAAAGACGGCCCCAAGAGGCCTCTAAGACGCCCAAGATGGCCTCCAAGACGGCCCTGAAGCGCCTCAAGAGGACCCCACATCGGTTCAGAGAGGCCCCCAAGACGGCTTCCGGCGGCGCCAGACCCGTCAGACGGGCCAGGAACGCTTTAAGACGGCCAATGAGAGGCCCCCAAGACGCCCCCAAGGCCCCCAAGAGGCCAAAGGAGGCCCCCAAGAGGCTTCCAAGAGGCCCCCGGGAAGCCCCCAAGAGGCCCCACAAGAGTGCCCCAAGAGGCTCCCAAGAGGCCTCCTCCTCCTCCTCCTCCTTCTCCTCCTCCTCCTCCCTCTCCTGATCCTCCCCCAAATGTTCCCCGAAGAGTTTCCGGAGCGGCTGGGGGAATGCATAATCAGATAGTTTGGCCAAGCTGGGGCCCAACGTTTGGCCACAGGCGCTTCTCAAAAAGGCTGGGGGCGGCGGTGATTCGCCGTAGGCGTCTTGGATCCGCCGCCCCCTGTGCTTGCCACGGGTGGACGGCGTGCCAGACATTTTGCTGCTATTGTTATTTTCAAGCCCTTCCCAGTGGCCTTCGGCCCAGACCGTCTGCCCCAAGGACCAGAAGGTGTGGCCCACATCGCCACCAAGACGGCCCAAATGGCCCAAGATGGTCACCAAGATGCCCCCAAGGCGGCTAGGATTGTCCCAAGAGAGCCCAAGACGGCCCCAATATGTCTCCAAGACGGCCCAAGATGCACCCGAGGCGTTCCAAGATGGCCCCAAGATGGCCCAGGACTGCCCCACAGGCCCCCAAGAGGCTTCCAATGCAGTCCAAGAAGCCTCCAAAGGGACCTGCAGGAAGGCCCGAAGAGGCAAAGACAGCTGATTTCCCGTGGGCTCTTGACGGATTTTGACGTTTTCGGCTTGCCGACGGCCCAATGCCGCCCACAAGACCCCCAAGAAGGCCCCAAGAGCGCGCAAGAGGCCTCCAAGACGGCCCCATGACGGCCTCCAGACGGTCCAAGAGGCCCCCAAGGCGCCTCCAAGACGGCCCACGAGAACTCCAAGGCGCCCACGACGGCCTTCAAGACGGCTCCAAAACGTCCAAGATGGCAACGATACGATTCGACATAGCCCCAGGATGGTCCAAGACAGCCCCAGAGGGCCCCAAGGGTATCCAAGGGGCCTCCTAGACAGTCTAGGAAGTCTTCAAGAGAACCTCCAGGAGAGCCCGAAATGCCCAAATGATTGTATTCCCTTCAATTGTTGAACAATTTGGACGCGTTTTCTTTTTCGGCTGTCCGACGGCCCAAGATGTCCACAAGATGGTCCCAAGACGGCCCAAGCTGACTTCAAGATGGCCCCCAAAGGGCCCTAAAGGGCGAGGAAACAGTCTAAGAGGAAGAGCAAGAGGAAAGGACGGAGTCAGAGGCCCGAAGCGGCTCCGAGAAGCCTGCAGCTCAGCGCGGGTTCGTCTGCGGACGCCCTTGCCCCCCCCCCCCAGGTATAACATCTCACCCCGAGGCCCGGTGATTTTTTGTGGGGCCGCCCTCTCAAGGCCCCACGGCCAGCTTTTGGGTCGAGGAGGAGGAGGGGCAGGAGGACGAGGAGGTGATCAAGAGGAACCAGAGGAGCAGGAGGAGCAGGAGGACGAGGAGGTTGAGCAAGGGGTCAAGGACGGAATGAAAGGCCCGAAGCGGCTCCGAGACCAGACCGCGCTGAGCTGCAGGGTTTTCGGAGCCGCTTAAGGCCTCTCATTTCGTCCTTGTCCCCCTGCTCAACCTCCTCGTCCTCCTGCTCCTCCTTCTCGTTTTCGTCTTGATCGACGTCCTCGTCCTGCTCCTCTTCTTCCTCGACCCAAGAGCCGGCCGTGGGGCCTTGAAAGGCCGGACCTAAAAAAGTCCCCGGGGGCCTCGGGCTAATTTTTTGTCTGGGGGGGGGCAGAGGCGTCCGCAGACGAACCCGCGCTGAGCTGCAGGCTTCTCGGAGCCGCTGCGGCCAAAAAAAGGCTGTCGTGCAGGCTGTCTCGGAGCCGCTGCGGCCAAAAGAAGGACACTTTGTCAGTTAACTGTTGGGTCGCTTTGTCGGCTGATTTCGGGCGCGTCGTCGTCGTCGTGGTCGTCTTTGATTCGTCGTCGTCGTTGTCGTGGTCGTCGTCGTCGTCGCCACCATCGTCGTGTCGTGGTCGTCGTCGTCATCGTCGTCGTCGTTGTCGTTGTCGTCGCCGTCCATAAGATGGCCCCAAGAGGGCCCTAAGAGGGCCCCAACACGGCCCCACGAGGGCTCCAAGAGGGCCCTCTTGGAGCCCTCTTGGGCCCCTGGTTGGCCCATGAGATGGCTCCAAGAGGGCCCTAAGAGGGCACCAAGAGGGCCCCAAGAGGGCCCCTAGAGGGCCCCTAGAGGGCTCCAAAAGGGCCCCAAGAAGGCCCCAGGAATTATGTACCAACCCAGCGGCCGCTGGTACATAACTCCTGAACCCTCTTGGGGCCCTCTGAGGGCCCTCACGGGCCCCTGGTTGGCCCTAAGAGGGCCACAAGAGGGCCCCAAGAGGGCCCCAAGAGGGCCCCAAGAGGGCTCCAAGAGGGCTCCAGGAATTATGTACCAACCCAGCGGCCGCTGGCACATAACTCCTGGGGCCCTCCTCCTCCTCCTCGGCGAGACGACGACGAGGAGGAGGTGCAAACGCACCCTCACCCAGCCCCTGCAGGACCAGGCAGCGACACTTGGACCAAGTTTCCCTGCCCCTGTTTTGACCCCAGAGCTCTCGACCCCGTCCAGGAGTTCCCGACCCCAACCTGGAGCTTTCGGCCCCATCCCGGACCTTTCGACCCGCAGACGACGGAGACGACGACGACGACGACGACGACGATGACGACGACGCCTCGACCTGGAGTGGTAAGTTTTGCTGCTGCTTTTCCACAGGGTTTTGGAGCCCTCGGGGCCCGGGGGGGGCCCCAAACGGATCCGAAGCCTCAAGTTTTTCTGGCCCACCACCGACGACCGGCGACGACGACGACGACGACGGGCATGAGTTACTTGGCGCCCCCCCTTGGGAGCATCGGGTAAGGGGGTGCGCTCCACACCCCTCCTTTACCCAGTGTCCCCCGGGGGACATCGGGTAACTCGACCTTGCAGGGGGGGGCGTTGGGCACGGGTTACCCGGTGGCGAGTGGGGGGCATCGGGTAATTCGACCTTGCACGGGGGGGTGTCGGACATGAGTTACCTGTTGTCCGCCGGGGGACATCGGGTAAGCGGGGGGTGCGCTCCACACCCCCTATCCCCCGAGGGGCGTCGGGTATGTCGACCTTATTCGGTAAATTGGTGGACCCCCATGGGACATCGGAGTCACCCGGTGGTCCCCGGTGTCCCCCAGGGGACATCGGGTAACTCGACCTTGCAGGGGGGGGTCTGGGTATGGTTACCCGGTGGCCCCCCGTGGGACATCGGAGTTACCCGGTGTCCCCCCGTGGGACATCGGAGTTACCCAGTGTCCCCCGTGGGACATCGGCCCGTGGGACATCGGAGTGGGCCCGGTGTCCCCCGTGGGGCATTGGAGTTACCCGGTGGTCACCGTGGAGCATCGGCCCGTGGGACATCGGAGTTACCCGGTGTCCCCCGGGGGACATGGGGTAACTCGACCTTGCAGGGGGGGGTCTGGGCACGAGTTACCTGGTGCCCCCCCGTGGGACATCGGAGTTACCCGGTGTCCCCCGTGGGACATCCGAGTTACCCAGTGGTCCCCGTGGGACATCGGCCCGTGGGACATCGGAGTTACCCGGTGTCCCTTGGGACATCGGAGTTACCCGGTGGTCCCCGTGGGACATCGGCCCGTGGGACATCGGAGTTACCCGGTGTCCCCCGGGGGACATCGGGTAACTCGACTTTGCAGGGGGGGTCTGGGCATGAGTTACCCAGTGGCCCCCCGCGGGACATCGGAGTTACCCCATCGGAGTTACCCGGTGGTCACCGTGGGGCATCGGCCCGTGGGACATCGGAGTTACCCGGTGTCCCCCAGGGGACACTGGAGTTACCCAGTGGTCCCCGTGGGACATCGGCCCATGGGACATCGGAGTTACCCGGTGTCCCCAAAGGGACACCGGAGGTACCCGGTGGTCTCCGTGGGACTTCGGCCTGGCCCGTTTTGAGGCCTTCTTAGGGCCCTCTTGGAACCCTGGTTTGCCCATAAGATGGCTCCAAGAGGGCCCTAAGAGGGCCCCTAGAGGGCCCCAAGAGGGCTCCAAGAGGGCCCCAAGAAGGCCCCAGGAATTATGTACCAACCTAGCGGCCGCTGGTACATAACTCCTGGGGCCCTCTTGGGGCCCTCTGAGGGCCCTCTTGGAGCCTTCTTGGGCCCCTGGTTGGCCCTACGAGGGCCCCAAGAAGGCCCCAGGAATTATGTACCAACCCAGCGGCCGCTGGTACATAGTTCGGGGGGATCTCTTGGGGCCCTCTGAGGGCCCTCTTGGAGCCCTCTTGGACCCCTATAGTTGGCCCTAAGAGGGCCCCAAGAAGGCCCCAGGAATTATGTACCAACCCAGCGGCCGCTAGTACAAAACTCCTGGGGCCCTGTTTGGGCCCTCTGAGGGCCCTCTTGGAGCCCTCTTGGGCCCCGGGTTGGCCCTAAGAGAGCCCCAAGAGGGCCCCAAGAGGGCTCCAAGAGGGCCCCAGGAATGATGTACCAACCCAAGAGGGCCCCCAGAGGGCCGCTGGCACATAACTCCTGAAGCCTCTTGGGGCCCTCTTGGAGCCCTCTCGGGCCCCTTGTTGGCCCACATGATGGCTCCAAGAGGGCCCCAAGACGGGCTCAAGAGGGGCTCAAGAGAGGCCTCAGAAACCGCTAGTAGGTGTCATCGAACAGCTCGTCTGGATGAGACCTCTCAGTGGTCTCTGGGGCGCGTCTTGGAGCCCTCTTGGGGCCCTCTGGAGCCCCCTGGGTGCTCCCAAAAAGGTTCCAAGGGACATCCGAAGGGGTGGAGGGGGAGTTGGACGGGGAGTGGAGGGGGAGGTGGAGGGGGGGTGGAGGGAGAGTTTGAGGGGAGTGGAGGGGGAGGTGGAGGGGGGCGGGGGGTGGTTGGTGGAGGGGGAAGGGAGAGGGAGAGGGGTTGGTGGAGGGGGGAGGGAGAGGGAGAGGGGTTTGATTAGGAAACTGGAAGAGGTTTGACGACCACGATGACGACGGCGAAGACGACGACGACGACGACCACGATGACGAGTGGGCGCCTTGGAATTCTCGTGGGCCGTCTTGGAGGCGCCTTGGGGGCCTCTTGGACCGTCTGGAGGCCGTCATGGGACCGTCTTGGAGGCCTCTTGGGTGCCCTTGGGGCCATCTTGGGGGTCTCTTCGGCGGCATTGGGCCGTCGGAATGCCGAAAACGTCAAAATACGTCAAGAGCCCACGGGAAATCAGCTGTCTTTGCCTCTTCGGGCCTCCCTGCAGGTCCCCTTGGAGACTTCTTGGACGGCATTGGAAGCCTCTTGGGGGCCTTTGGGGCCGTCCTGGGCCATCTTGGGGCCATCTTGGAACGCCTCGGGTGCATCTTGGGCCGTCTTGGAGACAGATTGGGACCGTCTTGGGCTCCCTTGGGGCAATCCTGGCCGCCTTGGAGGCATCTTGGTGGCCATCTTGGGCCATTTGGGCCGTCTTGGTGGCGATGTGGGCCACACTTTCTGGTCCTTCCGACGGGCAGGCGGTCTGGGCCGAAGGCCACTGGGAAGGGCTTGAAAATAACAAGAGCAGCAAAATGTCTGGCACGCCGTCCACCCCTATGACAAGCACAGGGGGGCGGCGGATCCAAGACGCCTACGGCGAATCACCGCCGCCCCCAGCCTTTTTGAGAAGCGCTTGTGCGGCCAAACGTTGGGCCCCAGCTTGGCCAAGCTATCTGATTATGTATTCCCCCAGCCGCTCGGAAACTCTTCGGGGAACACTTGGGGGAGGCTGAGTGGGAGGATCAGGAGAGGGAGGAGGAGGAGAAGGAGGAGGAGGAGGCCTCTTGGGAGCCTCTTGGGGTACTCTTGCGGGGCCTCCTGGGGGCTTCCCGGGGGCCTCTTGGAAGCCTCTTGGGGGCCTCCTTAGGCATTTGGGGGGCCTTGGGGGCGTCTTGGGGGCCTCTCATTCGCCGTCTTAAAGCGTTCCTGGCCCGTCGGAAGCCGTCTTGGGGGCCTCTCTGAACCGATGTGGGGGCCTCTTGAAGCGCTTCAGGGCCATCTTGGAGGCCATCTTGGGCGTCTTAGAGGCCTCCTGGGGAGGAGGAGGAGGAGGAGGAGGAGGAGGACGAGGAGGAGGGGGAGGGAAGACGGAGAGGAGGAGGAGGAGGAGGAGGAAGAGGAGGAGGGGGAGGGGGAGGTGGAGGAGGAGGAGGAGGAGGAAGAAAAAAAGGAGGTTGAGGAGGAGGAGGAGGAAGAGGAGGAGGACTGGGAACAGCAGGCGAAGAGGGAGTAGGAAGAGAAACAGGGAGGATAACCAGGAGAAGGAGGCAGGGGGTAGGAGCGAGGAGACACGGTCGGACAACGAGAGACAAAGTCGGAGCAACCCCCAACCCCCAGAGTCTGGGGGCGCCCCAGAGTCTGAACAGCACCTTTTTCAGATAACGCACACCGCCAGAGGCGGCGGAGAGCTTGAGATCCACCTACCAAAAGTCCCGCACAGACTCGCTTGCGCTCGCTGGCGCTGCCGATCTCACAAGCAGCCGACGCGTTGGTGTCGTCGTCTCGGCGCCGCCGCCGCCGCGCCGTTGCCAGATGCCGCTGCCTGTCGCCATCGGCGCCTCTCGCCGCCGCGCCCCCAGCCGTGCCGCCGGCGTTTCTTCACCATGGTCGTCTTCCTGGTGTTTTTTCACCATCGGCGTCCTCCTGGCGTCTCCACATACTACGACGAGTGTGAACGGTATTCAGGCGAGGGCTCCATTCAGAAAACCACCTTTCTTCCATCCATGAAACGGCTTCGAATTTTGGAAACGAAAGTGCTCGGCGGGGAGGCGGGAGCGGCGTCTCCGCCTTTCGGCGGCGCGCTCAGTTGGGGGGAAGGCGGGGGGGGGGGCGGGCCTTCGGAGGAGGCTCGGAAGGCGTCCGAGGCCACAGAGAGCTCCTCGGGAGGCCGCAGGGCTTCTGAGACAGCCCGCCGCCTTCTGAGAAAGCCTGCTCCCTCTCATTTCCCCTTCGGCGCGCCGCCTCCGCCTTCCTCCCAGCTTCCCCTCAAGGACCTCTCATTCCAGGATTGCCCCACGTACCGTGCGAGCCGGCCTTCGCCGTAGCATGCGCGCAACAATGAAAAGAAGAAGTTCGCTAAGCTGATCTGGTCAGAAGATGGTCATATGCATCACCACTTCGTTTGAGATCTTCAGCGCCATTGTCGGCCGTTGTCCTGTTGGCCCCCCGCCTCCTCCCCCGCTTCTATCCTGTTCTCCTCGCCCCCCCATCATGCTTCTCTAACCCTGAAGCGGGTACCTAATTATTTTTCCGGCGGCCTTAGTGCAGGACTGGGGTCCCACCAATAGAAAGTAATTCATTGTTTTGTTCCGCGGCACCCGCCGCGCAACAACGACGACGACAGGAGAAGGAGGAAGAGAAGGAGGAGGTCTTAGGATCAGTCCTATCCACCGCCGAAAGACAATTGGGACCAAGATTAACCTGGCGAAGGACCCAACCACATGCAATTGTGAGTACCGCCGTTGTGAGAAACGCCTTCGGTGGAGCTCCTTACGGGGCCACGAAACGCATGAAGGGAACGCCGAAATTGGGCGGGGCCGTCATGCGGGCGGTGCCGCCGGGGCCGCCGGCAGGGGGCGCGGAGGTCTGACGAAACGTCTTGCATGCTGATGTAACCCGTGGCGGCTGACAGGCACCAGGAGAAGCGGGAGAAGATATTCGGGCGCAGCCACTGAGGCCTTAGGTGGGGTTCCCTACGGGGCCACGAGACGTGCCAGGGGTGTGCCAAAGTGTTGGGTGTGGCGGCATGCGAATGCAGCCACTGGGGCCTTCGGTGGAGCTCCCTATGGGGTGTGCCAACCAAAGGAGGAGGGAGGGAGGGGGGGGGGCATGCGAACGCAGCCACTGGGCCTTCGGTGGAGCTCCCTATTGGGCCACGAAGCGCGTGAAGGTGTGCCGAAGGCGAGGGGTGGCGGCATGCGAACGCAGCCATTGGGGCTTTCGGTGGCCACGAGACGCGTGAAGGGTGTGCCAAAATAGAGGGGGGCGCCAGGCGAACGCAGCCACTTGGGGGCATTCGGTGGAGCTCCCTATGGGGCAACGAAACGTGTGAGGGGTGTGCCAAAATAGGAGGGGGGGGGCATGCCAACGCAGCCGCTGAGGCCTTCGTTGGAGCTCCCTATGGGGCCACGAAACTTGTGAGGGGCGCGCCACACATAGTCAAAGAGGGGAGGCATGCGAACGCAGCCAGTGGAGTTCCATATGGGGGTACGAAACTTGCGAAGGGGTGTACCAAAGTAGGGAGGGGTGGCGGCATGCGAACGCAGCCGCTGGGGCCTGCGGTGGAAATCCCTATAGGGCCACGAAGCCTGTGAGGGGTGTGCCGAAGTGGAGGGGTGGCGGCATGCGAACGCAGCCACTGGGGCCGTCGGTGAAACTCCCTATCGGGCCACGAAACTTGTCAGGAGTGTGCCAGGATCCACGTGGGGCGGCAGCCACTGGGGCCTTCGGTGGAGATCCTTATGGGGTCACGAAACGTGTGCGGGTTGTGCCAAAGTGGGGGGGTTAGACAGGCACCAGGAGAAGTGGGAGAAGATATTCGGGCGCAGCCACTGAGGCCTTAGGTGGGGTTCCCTACGGGGCCGCGAGACGTGCCAGGGGTGTGCCGAAGTAGGGGGGGGGAGGGCATGCGAGAGCTCCCGGGGCCACGAAACCCGTGAGCGGTGTGCCGAATGGGGATGGCAGGGGCAAGGATGGGAAGAGGGAGGAGGGAGGCGCCGACCACGACGAGAACGTCGACGGCGAGGATGACAGACAGCGGCAGACGACGACAACGACGACACACGACAGACGACCGTTGACAGACGGCAATGGCGACAGACCCTGAGATCCGACGTTGCAAAACTTGCAACGTCGCGAAACACTGCGACCAGTGCCCTACACCCCACCTTTCTGCTACATTTTTCGAGCCTGATCGATCTGTGAGGGTCCCAGGGACTGAAACCCTGGCGAAACCGCCCGGGACAGGACAGGAAGCAGCCGCGCCCGGCGTGAAACAACTGCAGGGTCTGAATCTCAGGGGGCGGCGACGCGGAAGGCTACGAAGACAGCAGCGATGGACGACGGCAACGAAGGCGGCAGCGGCGACAAGGGCGGCGAAGACGGCGACGGCAATAACGACAGACGGCGACGACGAACGACCCAGGCCCCCGACGTCATGATTTTCTCATAGCGCCGATCTCTGGCACTGGATTCTCACCCTGAGCCGCTTCCTGACGGCCCCACGGCCCGGCGAGGGCGCCCCCACAGAGTCTGGACACAGCAAGAAGCTGCCCGTCCTGACCTGATTCTTCCACGATGCGAGGGGTTCTTGTCGGGCGGGGCCAAGACGAGAGCAAATCCGCTCCAGAGCGTCAGGGAACGCTCTCAGAGCGCTCCGGAACGATCTGAGAAGGCCGCGACGCCCGATGCATCCTGCAGAGCCGCCGGATCTCAGAGATTCTCGCTTCATCCTCGCCCCGATGTATCCTTGTCCTGGCTTCGTCTTACCTTGAAAATGGCGACGGGGGTTGCGGCGGCAGCGGCGTGGGCGGCGAATGCGGCGGCGGCCGCCCGAGGCGTGGCGGCGGCTCCAGGGGTGCCGCCGGTGGCCGGCGGGCCGCCCTTTTTGCTGCTGGACAAGGCCGAGTTCCGCCCGCCGAGGGCGGCGCACCGACGCCTCATTGGGCCTCCCCCTCCTCCGTGGAGCCTTCCTCCTCCTCATCTTGCCTCTCCCCCTCGTTTGTCCTCATCTTCTTCCTCTTCCTCGTTCTCTTTGCTTCTCTTTCTCCTCCTCCCCCTCCTGCTCCCCCTCCTCTTTCTGCTCGTCGCTCGAATAGGAGGCGTCCGCTGCCGTATTGCTCAAGGCTGGCCGTCGCACCCTGAGACCGCAGTGAAGGGAAAGGACCGCCGCTTTGCGATCTTGAATGTTACCAATGCCGCCATGCCAATTTCTTTTCACCACTACCACGGCCACCTGCTATCCGAATGTGCAGCGGAGCTGGGAGCAATCCCAGCTCGCGATCCACAGGACTGCGCATACTGCGATGCTGACGCACAGTCGCATTCTCTCCTTCTGCAACTCTAGTACCCTCCGTCCCGCGTACAGCCTGTGCTCATGGCTGTTCTCCAAACCGTTCGGTAATTCGCACTGGACGTTCACAAGCGACGGTGACGACAAATGCCGTATGCCGTATGAGACGTGCGAGAGCCCAGGTGCGCAGGGCAACAAAACCTGCAGGCTTTCCCGCGATGTAGAGCGATTCGCCCACGGGAACGCCACGAACTTCCCCGACCCATCGCACCCCACAGGCACTGGCCGCACCTTCGCGTCGGGCATGATTGCGTGGCGCTCGTGATGTGTGCGACTGTGTTGGCTGTCTTTGCGAATTCGTCGCACCATTTCGTTCTGAGCACGGAACGCTACTGTACCTATTTCACCACCCTTGGCACCAGCCAAGGGCAACAGCATTAGTACAGCTGTCACCTGCTTCAACGTGGCGCTCGTCCTTGCGCAGGCCCGAACCACAACGCGCTTCCGCAGCTCACGTCGTGATGGAGTGCTATCGACGTGGACGTCAATTTTGGCGCTCGGGGGCAGCAAACCATTCATCACCAACCTGATGTCGCCGATGCATGTTCTTGCCCCGACTGTGGACCGCAGCCGGCCAGACACGCATCCAGCGACCGCTGCAGAAACTACATCCAGATGCAGCCAGCACCTTGGCTTCGCCACGACCACTGTTCGCTATGGTTTTTCATCTCGTCCGCCTCTGTGACCTTTTCGGCTACTCCAAGCTGCCTGGGTTGGTCTTCTTCTGGTTCTTCTTCAACGCGGACTTCGACTGAGACCTCACTACCACCTACATCAACGCTCTTCCAGGATGAGGCGTGCAGGCATGTCGCTGGCACCTATTGCTGTCGTGCCGCGCGCTGCCTAGGAGCCTTGTCAGATACCCTTCCCCAAAGAACGCGGAAGTGGCTTAGTCAACGTTATACACCGCGCGCGGCCTTGGTCACAACCACTTGTCAGCCTTACCACCCACACGCGGCCCATTCACTTGCTCAACAGGGTAGCAATGTTGAGTGCGATCGACAGGCAATCGGGACAGAGCTGTGCCATTCGCTTCACAGCAAGACCTGGCGCCCCACGCTCTAGTGCATGCGATGCGCCCTGGCGCTCGGATTTGCGATGCGCAGAGCGCGCAGCTTCAGACACGCTGATGCGTTCGTTGTGCCTTCAGCCGCAAGATTAGATTCACACCTTGCGCTGTGCCATTCGGTCTAGGCACGCGACCACGCGGCAACCCGCGCATCTCTGCCACTGCGGCTTCGGACAGAGAGGTGCGCACGGTTTGTGCCTTCAGCGGCAACTGTCTTACCGCTCAGGATTCGCCGACTGGGGTTCGCCGGCGCATTGCCAGCGCGCGGCGGCGCAGGCCTCGCGGCGCGCGCTATTCACGTGCACCCACGTGCTGCTCAGCGCGCCTGGTCCATGCTCGGCGACGCAGCTGCGCAATCACGGTGCGCTTTGCCTTGGCACCCCCATGCGTCGCGCCATGCGCGCTGGAGCAATGTTTGTGCCCGGCAGCGCTGGCGCGCGCGCCGCGCTACGCCCGCGCGCATCCACGCGCCCTGCAGCTCGCGCCGGGCATCAGCACGCTCAACTGCGCGCCGGAGCTTGCGTGGCGTCAGAGACATGCCACGCTCGCGGCCAACAACGCAGTGAACTACGCACGCAGGGGCGGCGTCGCGCCGAACGCACCTACGTCTGGCCAAGTTCGTCCCGGACCACATGTCAGAGCGCCTGCTGGCACCGACGCTGGTTCCCCAAACCGCATTCAGACTACAGTCGGGTATGTCACACGGGATGCAGCCCACAGGGGGGCTTTATGCGGGCCGGGCCAGTTGGCATGCGATTTCAGCCCGTGTGCACGTTTTTTAGATTGCAAGCCATTCTCTGCGTACGTACTTCACAATCCACCTACTCAGCCACATCGCCGCCTCGGTGAATAGGAACTGGCAAGGCGCGCGCCGGCCGACGCAGGCAGCGCCACCTCGCTGCGCGCCGCCTTTTAGCTGCGCGCCCACACCTCGACGCGATCGACCTTCCGCACGCAGCCTGCTGCGAGCGCGGCAGTTGACTCGCCCGGCGCGCCGCCGCCTGCTGAGCCGCCCAGCGGAGGGGCGTCTCCACTGAGGTCTCGCTGGCCAGCGCAACGGCCACGCGCCCCTTCGCCAGGGGCGCGCCCCGCTGGCCCGCCACGCTCGCGGTCTGCACCCGCGGTCGAGCCGGCGCCAGACCATGGGGCCGAGCTCCACGGAGCCCTCCGCCTCCTATCCGACGGACTACGCCGTCGACCGCTGGGCCGCCAAGTCCGCGCGTAGCCGAGCGCGACGCGATCGCCCTGCGGACTGCGCGCACTGGTCTGCAACGCAAGGATTTGATTATGATCTTCGCCGACATGTCTTACGACGAACGCATTCAGTTCATTCGGGTATCACGTGGAGTTACACGTCGCGACCATCCTCTGCCTGGGATGATATGGTGTACGTTTGCCGCTTAGCTCAACGACTTCGTCTTCGACCTACGTGCCCATCCCCATATTGTTCTACGTGTTTTTTTGTTTCCGTTGTCCTGCCCCCCCTTCGTCGTCTTCGTCGTCGCAGGCCCCTCGCTCCACATTCGCTGCCCACGCATCTGGGGGCTCGACTTCCTTGCCGCGCCCCAGGCCACCAGGCGGGCGCGCAGGGGGGGGGGTCGCGCGCCGAGCCGCCGGATTGGCGCGCACGTCTGCGCGCAGCTCCGCCTGGCCAAGACGCGCGCGCACACCGGCGCATCTGCGCCCGCAGCTGCGCGCCGCGCGCAACGCGAATGCCCGCCCAAGGGTTCGCCGCTCAGTCGGCCTCCGCCCCCCCCGCCGCGCCGCGGACCACGGAGCGCCAGCTGCTGCTAGATAGGCGAGAGGACGCGAGGAGGACGTTGCCAGGCAGTGGGCGAAGAGAACGGCCGGGAGGTGGAGGACGCGCGAAGGCAAGCTCGGCGCGATGGAAGAGCGCGGCGTTACCGCCGCGCGGTCTCCAGATGCGCTCAGCTCAGCCTCTGCCCAGCCTTCCCTCGTTCGAACTTCTCAACAATTTCCTCCGTCATGATGCCCCCCGCAGAAACGGCCGCCAGCCAGATGCTGACTGTGCTGCAACCGACGCCCGCAGGCAGCCGCATCCCTCATTTCTGGTTGACAAGCCAGAGACGCTCTACAAAACGCCGCCCCCGCGACCTGAAGCGCAGCGCGCCTGTTGCTGCGCAACGACCACTATCTACAGTTGTCAGCGCGGGATTCAACGCCCCGACTGACGCGCGCGGCGGCCGAGGACGCCCCCTGGCCAACGGCCGCAAGAACGCGCATCTGCGGCCCGCGGGCCCAGACGCAAGCCAGGCCACTGACGCGGCAAGACCCGCGCCGCAACTGGGTTGGCACGCTCGCGCCCACTGCGACAGCCTGCGCAGGGTCGACTACCAGCAGAACGCAGCAGCAGCGCATTGCGCTTTCGATCACCTCGCCCACTACACTACAACCACAGCTTGGGAGCGGAATATAGGCACAGCCGACGCGCCTCCCGTGTCCGCGCGCACCGGCGAGGAGGGCGTCGACGTCATCATCGCGACCAGCACCATCGGCGCGTCGCAGCAAGGCCGCCCAGCAGGGCTGCCTTGGCGCGCGTGTCTGGCAGGCCACGACGGCGCGCAGCAACCGCCATCCGCCGTCAAAGCGCGCGCGCGGCAGCGCAGTCAATGGCGCCCTGCGCCGCCCGCTGCGCGACCCACGTCGGTCGGCATCCCTGGCGGCGCCGCAGCTAGCGCGCCGAAGGTGCAGCCCGCGCGCTGCCGTCTTGCGAACCACTTGACCTCGCGGTTGCATGGGGATCGGGGCGCGCCTGCGATGCGCGCGCGAATGCGCACGCTGACGAAACGGCCTGTTCTCGCTGGAACGACTACAACGAAGACCCGGCCCCCCCATCCTTCCCCATCAGGCAGGAGACGAGAGGGCGGCAGCCTGGCCGCGCGCATCGCCAACGCGAAGAGGAACGCGAGTCCACTTCTGGCTCTTGGAAATGAGCGGGACTTGTCAGATCATTGCCCAAGCCCGCGCAGAGCAACATTTCGTTCGCCATGCGGGCCAGCGGATCCAGCGCCGACCACGGGGCGAACGAAGCAAGGAACCACCGGCATGATCGCGCTGCGACCTGCCACGCGCCTCAGACGCTGGTCGCGGAGCGCGGGTCGCCCGTCAAAACGCCGCCGCAAGTCCGCAGATAGTTGGTATTGCCGCGCGCCGCGGTGGCTGTCACTGAGCAACTTGGCCCCTTTACCACGCGTCGGATATCCAGCACGCGGTGGCTCGGGGCTGTCCTGCGTCACGCTAGGAAGAGAGAGCTCTGCCGCATTAGTGCGCGAAGTCCGCCTCGGTCGCGACGCTGCCGACCTGCTTCGCCCAAGTCTGAAGGCCCAGCATGTCCAGCTGGGCAAGACCATTATCGTGGGGTGAACATTCGGGCAAGAATTCACGCATGGACCACAGTGGAACAGCAACGCAGCTGGGACAAGCGACGAACGTGGGCGAATTGTGACCAGGACAGTTTTGG